CCCCCCCCCCCCCACGGCAGGCCAGGGCTGGGCAGCTGTTAGCACAGGTTAGACCCCCAAAACTGGCTCAGATTCACCCCCCACCCCCCAATTCAGGCAGAGCCCCTCCAAGGCAAACACATGCAAACCGCACCCCCCGCCTCGGGCACCTCGGGGGGCACAGCCGGGGGCGGCGGGGAGCCCCCAAAGCCCTGCACACACCGCACACGCATGCACCCCCCGAAAGGGCTGTGGGGGCAGTGCCAGGCACTGCTGGGGTGGGTGGGGGGCAGCTTGGCAGGGACCCCCCCCCTCCCCACCACCGCCACGGCCAGCTCCGGGGGTCCCCGCAGCCGGGTGTGGCCGAGAGCACCATGGAGAAGCGGGGGGCACCCAGCGGGCAGGGCAGGGCCCCCACCCCGTGCCCTGGGGACGGGGACACGCCGGGTCCCCTTTGGTCACTTGCTGTCCCTGCCGGGGCAGGGAGGGCCCGAGGCACCGCGAGATGCGGGGGGGCTGCGGATGGGGGAGACCCCCACCCCCCTCAGAGAAGAGTGGGGCAGAGTGGGGACCCCCCAGGGCAAAGCGGGGGCTCCCCACGGCACTGCTGGCCGGGCTCGGGGAGGGCACAAAGGCAACGAGCGGGGCTGTCCCGCACCCCAAAACCAGCGCTGGGGGGGGTCCCCTGCCCGCACCCCCTTATCCTAACGCATGTAAACGTCCCGGCCCCAGCCCTCCCCATCGCTCTGGCCCAGGGGCTCCTGGCCCTTGGCTCGTCCCCGCAGCCCCCGGCCCTCGCAGCCGGGCTCGGCCCCATCCCAGGAGCCGGGGGGCGGGTGGGGTCCGGCCCCGGGGGTGCCCGGCGGCTCCTCCTCCACGGGATCCATCTCGATGTCCATGCAGCAGGAATCCCCGGGCTCCGTGCCCGTCCCGTCCCGGCTGCCCGGTGCCTCCGAGTCGAAGGTGTCCTGGCGGGACAGGCTGCGGGGACCCGGCCGGGTGGGGGCCGGGGGGGGTCTGCCCTGCCCGCGACCCCCCGAGTCCCCCGGGCCCTGCCGGGGGCGGCCGTGCTCCCCCTCCGGGTACGGAGCCTGGGTGCGAGAAGCAACCACACCATGCGGGGATGGACGGGCAGGGGTCTGGGGGGGTCACGGGGGGGTTAGTGGGGGGTTAGTGGGGGTCAGCTGGGGCTGGAGGGGGTCACACGCTCCTGGCCAGCCTGGCCTGCCCGTGCCACTCACTGGTGACAGCAGCAGGGCTCAGCCGGGGGGACACCGGGAATGGGGAGGGGGAGCAGGGCTGCAGGGCGGGGAGTGGAAGATTTAGCGACAGACAACACAGGACACGTGTCCCCCCTCTGTCCCCACCCCCGGATCAGCTCTGCAGTGGCCACGGTGGGATGGGGCTGAGCCCCCCGCCCAGGACACCCCCAAACTCTCGCCACCAGCACGGCTCCCCCAGAGAGGGGTGGGAATGGGGATGTGGCACCCCAGCATTCCCCAGGAAGGCACAGGGTGGGTTTTGGAAGAGGCAGATCCTGGGGGTTCCCAATCCCCAGGGCAGCTCCAGGCCTTGGAGGAGGCACAGATTCCCAAGAGATCCCAAATGTGGGGCTGGCAGCAGTCCCAGAGCCCCAGGGCTGATCCCAGTGATGGCCCCAATCCAGGAACGGGAGCAGGTCCCTGGGGTGACCCCGACCCCAGGAACAGATCCCCCACACCAGGGGCCCCTGGGGGGGCACAGGTTCCCGAAGGAGCAATCCCAGGGATGGTCCCCACTCCTGGGGGGCTGTGGTTCCCCACGGTGACCTCAATCCCATGGGCTGCCCCAATCCCAGGGTCCCCAGGACAGGTGACCCCACACCTCGGGACCACGGCCCCCCAGGGTGACTCTGACCCCAGGGGTGGCCCCAATCCCAGGGTGGAGAGCAGGTTCCCAGGGAAGGTGACCCCAGGGACAATCCCAAACCTGGGGGGGGCACAGACCCCTGGGGTGACCCTGATCCCAGGACAGGTGACCCAAGGGACAATCCCACACCTGGGAGACTGTGACCTCCTGAGGTGACCCTGATCCCAGGACAGGTGACCCAAGGGACAATCCCACACCTAGGGGGTGCCACAGTCCTTTGGGTTGACCCTAATCCCAGGACAGGTGACCCCAAGGATGGTCCCACACCTGGGGGATTGTGGTTCCCCTGGTGTCCCCAATCCCAGGATGCAGAACAGCTCCCTGGAGCAGGTGACCTCAGGGACAGTCCCACACCTGGGGGGCTGTGACTCCCTGAGGTGACCCTGATCCTAGGACAGGTGACTCCAGGGACAATTACACAACTGGGGGGGTGCCACAATCCTTTGGGGTGACCCTGATCCAAGGACAGGTGACCCCAGGGACAATCCCACACCTGGAGGGCTGTGACTCCCCGATCCCAGAGCTCTCCCGAGGGAGGGCTGGGGGGTGTCCCCTGTGTCCCCCGTGGTGTCCCCCGTGGTGTCCCCGCCGCCGCCTCACAGCGCGTGCTCCTCGAGGGCTCCGGGGGGGCTGGGGGTGGCCTCGCGGCCCCACAGGTTGAGGTTCCTGCGCAGGGAGGTGAGCACCTGTACCTGCAGGTTGGAGACGGGCGCGGGGCTGGCGGCCAGCGCGGCCGTGGCCATGGTGCGGTTCAGCAGCGGGTTCGGGGGGTTGCTGCTCGGAGGGTGCGTGGCTTTCCAGTACGCCTCCAGGTACTCGGCCAGGTGCTCGCACGCCTCCTCCAGCTGGTTCTCGTCCAGAACGATGTCGAACATCTCCTGGGAAAGGGACACGGCTGCCAGGGGCGGCAGGGAGGGGCTAATGGGGTGGGAGGGGCAGCCGGACATGGGGTGGGGACAATGGGACACAGGATGGGGATAATGGGACAAGGAGGGGCAGCCGGACATGGGGTGGGGACAATGGGACACAGGATGGGGATAATGGGACAGGGAGGAGCACCTGGACATGAGGCAGAGCCAAAGGGACACAAGGTGGGGACAATGGGACACAGGATGGGGATAATGGGATGGGGAGGGGCAGCTGGACATTGGGAGGGGACAATGGGATACAGGGCAGAGCCTATAGGACAGGGTGGGGACAATGGGGTAGGGAGGGGACAATGGGACAAAGAGGGGCAGCTGGACGTGGGGCAGAGCCAAAGGGACAGGGAGGGGACAATGGGACACGGGGTGGGAATAATGGGACAGAGAGGAGACAGTGGGACACAAGGTGGGGACAATGAGACAGGGGGGGCACCTGGACATGGGACAGAGCCTATGGAACAGGGCAGGGACAGTGGGACAGGGGGGGATCTGTGGGATAGAGGGGGCAGATATTGGGCAGGGGGTGGGCAGAGCAGGTCAGGGTGGGGGTCAGGGTGGGGGTCAGGGTGGGTGGCAGGGTGGGGGTCAGGGTGGGGGTCAGGGTGGGTGGCAGGGTGGGTGGCACCATGGTGGCCGGGGCACACTCACAGGCGGGCACTGTGCCAGCTTGTCCGAGGCCACCATCTGCACATTGAGGTGCTTGGCCTGGGACTTCCCCCTGGACTTCACCAACCGCTGCAGCACCTGGGGGCAGGAGGGGACAGCCTGGGGTGGCCGAAGGGACATGGCCGGACCCTGCCTGGTCCCCTCAGCGTGGCAGGGAGAGGCTGGCACTGCCCACGCCCACGCCAGGACCCGCACCCACCTTGGGGGAGGTGATTTTGATGTAGACGATGATGGGGGCCAGGGAGGTCTTGGCCAGCTGGGCCGGGTGGTTGATGGTGTCGGCATCCAGGGCCACCAACTGCAGCGTCCGGGCCAGCTCGAAAATCCGCTCGGTCTCGCTCTGCACCTCGGCTGGGGGTGGGGACACGGGGACAGGGTGAGGGGACAGGCTGGGAGGGGGACAGCAGCAGGAGGGGGCTTGTCCTGAGGCTTGGCCACCTCGGTGTCACCACAGGGGCACTGCGGGAGGGAGGTGACACCGGCAAAGCGCCCCCACCCCAAACCATGCACACACAGAGAGGGGGGCGGGTCAGACACGGCAGTGCCACCAGGGTGTCCCCAACCCTCAGAGTCTGTCACAGCACCTGGGCAGGGCCAGGTGGGGAGGACGGGGCTGCCGGGGGGGGTCCCGGTTACGTACCCAAGACATCTGTATCAGGAGCAGGGGAGGAAGGAGGCAGCGCGGAGGGGAGGAGAACCCCGAAAGAAAAGAGAAAAAGGAAAAAAAAAAAAAACCACACACAAAAAAAAACCACAACAGAGAAGATAAAAGAGGAGGAGGAGGAGGAAAAGGAGGAGGAGGAAGAGGAGAGGCTGTGACTGAGTCACAGGGTCCCCCATTAGTCACCCCCACCCCCCAGGAGCGGGATGAGCACCCCGGGCTGGGCGATCTGATACAGATGGAGGCTTGGGGGGGTCCCGCGGGGTTTTGGGGGGTCCCGCGGGGTTTTGGGGGGTCCCGCGGGGTTTTGGGGTGTCTGGGGGGGCCGTACCCAGGCTGGAGCGGGTGCTGGAGCGCTCGATGATCGTGTGCTTGCTGGGGTTGTTGAGCACGGAGCGTTTGGCCAGTGAGATGTCGGCTGTGACTCGTGTGATGGAGATCCTGGGGGCACAGCGGGGGGACCCCCCCACATCCACAGCCACCCCCGGACCCCAGTGTCACCCCCGTCCTGACACCCCACACCCGGGACTGCTGGACAGGGAGGAGCTGGACCCGCCCTGCTCAGGGTTTTCCTGCGGGTTTGGGGATCCCCTTATGGAATTAGGGGTCCCCCATCGGTTTAGGGGTCCTTCATGGGGTTAGGGCTCCCCTTATGGGGTTAGGGGTCTCCCATGGGGTTAGGGGTCCCTCTATGGGATTAGGGGTCCTTCATGGGGTTAGGGCTCCCCTTATGGGGTTAGGGGTCTCCCATGGGGTTAGGGGTCCCTCTATGGGATGAGGGGTCCCCCTATGGGATTAGGGGTCCCTCTATGGAATTGGGGTCCCTCTATGGGGTTACAGCTCCCTCCTGTGAGATTGGGGCTCCTTCTAATGAGATTAGGGATCTCCCAATGGGTTTAGGGGCCCCCTCGTGGTTTTAGGGCTCCCCCTGTAGATTTAGGGGTCTCCCATTAGTTCAGAGGTCCCTCTATAGGGTTAGGGGTCCCTCTGTGGGCTTAGGGGATCCTCGATGGGTTTAGGGTCTCCCATGAGTTTAGGAGTCCCTCTATGGGGTTAGGGGTCCCTCAGTGGGTTTAGGGGTCTCCCATGGGTTCAGGGGTCCCTCCATGGGCTCAGGGGTCCCCTCACAGGTTTAGGGGTCCCCGGCCTTGCAGCCCCCTCCCTCACCTGCCATCAAAGCGATGCTTCAGGAAATCAAACAGCGCTTTCTGCATCATGTCCGTGACCTGGGGGGGAGGGAAAGGACAGTGGGGACAGAGGGACAATGTGGGGCTGGGGTCCCCCCCTGAGCCCCCCGAGCTCTCGCCCACCCCCCTGCTCACCTCGTAGCCCTTCAGGGACGGCCCCACGAGGATGATGGGGCGCATGGAGGGCACCACGTCGTACGGGGGCACGTGCTCGGTCTGGGGACAGAGCCGGGTGTCACCGGGGCAGGGAGGGGACACGGGGCACGCTCGGCTGTGCCCCCACAGGGGTGGCTCTGGGGCGTTTTTGGGGGTGCTGCAAGCGGGGGGTGTCCCTCCCTCTCCCCCTCCCCGGCTCCTGGCGCTACTCACCGACTTCTGCTTCTGCTTCGCTACGTCCCGAGGGGCCGCGGGGGCCGGGGGCGAGAGGAGACAAACAAGGCATGCGTGTTAGCCACGGGCACGGGGACACGGGGACACGGGTGTGACCCCCAGGCTGAGCGAGGGACATGGGTGTGACCCAGAGGTGACCCAGGGACACGTGTGCGACCCCCAGGGACATGGGTGTGCGACCAGCGACATGTGTGTGACCCCCTGTGGGCGAGCCAGGGACACGTGTGATCCAAACGTGACCCGGGGACATGTGTGTGACCTCCCCAGGGTGACCCAGGGACACGGGTGGGTGACTCAGGGACACGTGTGTGACCCAGAGATGACCCAGGGACACATGTGTGACCCCCCCAGGGCACCTTAAAGACACATGTGTCACCTGGAATGTGACCCAGTGGCACATGGGCGACCCAGAGGTGACCCAGGGACACGTGTGTCATGGACAGGGTGCCCAAAGGACACATGTGCGACCCAGGGACACGTGTGTGTAACCCAGAGGTGACCCAGGGGACACGTGTGTGTGACCCAGAGGTGACCCAGGGACATATGTGTGACCCAGAGGTGACCCAGGGGACACGTGTGTGTAACCCAGAGGTGACCCAGGGGACACGTGTGTAACCCAGAGGTGACCCAGGGACACATGTGTGACCCAGAGGTGACCCAGGGGACACGTGTGTCACGGACAGGGTGTCCAAAGGACACGAGTGTGACCCAGGCCATGGCCCAGAGCCATGTGTATGACCCATGGGGCAGCCCCGGTGACACGTGTGTGACCCTGGGGACAGTCACGCCCCAGTCGCTCCCTCTGGGGTAGATTTGGGTGCCAGGGGGGCTCTGCAGGGCTTGGGGGGCAGCTGGGACCCCCCCAGGCTGATTCTACCAAAATTCCCTGCAGATCCCCCCCCCATCCCGTGTGGTGGTTGCGCCCGAACCCCCCCCAGCTTATGCCCAGTTTGGGGGGGAGGAATGGTCCATTCTCAGTCGCGGGGGGGATGAGACACCGGCCGTGCTGGAACACACCATGCGCACACTGCGGGGGGAGCCAACCGGGAGGGGGGGCACGGGCTGGTCCATTTCATGGACGGGGGGGAAAATCACAGCCATGGACTGATCCATCCCACGGACGTGGGGGGGGATCACAGACACGGAATGGTCCATCCCATGAACTGGGGGGGATCACAGAAACGGAATGGTACATCCCATGAACTGGGGGGGATCACAGACACGGAATGGTCCATCCCATGAACTGGGGGTGGATCACAGCCATGGACTGATCCATCCCATGGACTGAGGGGGGATCACAGCCACGGGCTGATCCATCCCACGGACTTGCGGGGGGGGGGTCATAGCCACGGACTGATCCATCCCATGGACTGGGGGGGAATCACAGCCATGGACTGATCCATCCCATGGACTGAGGGGGGATCACAGCCACGGGCTGATCCATCCCATGGACTGGGGGGGAATCACAGCCATGGACTGATCCATCCCATTGACAACGGAGGGGGTCAGCCATGGACTGATCCATCCCACGGATTGGGGGGAATCACAGACACGGACTGATCCATCCCATTGACAATGGGGGGGTCAGCTATGGACTGATCCATCCCACTGACAACAGGAGGGGTCAGCCCCGCACTATCCCCCGGGTGCAGGGCTCATCCCGTGCTGCACCACCGGGGCAGCACGTGACCCCCAGCCCCCATTGGGTGACCCCCAGCCCCCATTGGGTGACCCCCAGCCCACAAGGGGTGACCCCCAGCCCCCATGGGGTGACCCCCAGCCACATGGGGTGACCTCGAGCCCCCATAGGGTGACCCCCAGCCTCCGTGGGGTGACCTCGAGCCCCCATGGGATGGCCTCCAGCCCCCATGGGATGGCTCCCAGCCCCCATGGGGTGGCCCCCAGCCCCCGTGGGTGCCCCCAGCCCCCCGGCAGTGTTAGGGCAGGCAGCGGGTGCAGCAGGCGAGGCGGGGGCCGGCGGGGGCCGTTACCTTCCTAAAGAAAGGGATGCGCTTGTTGTGGGCGGGGGGGGTGGTGACACTGCTCACGCTACTCTTAGGGGAGCGCTGGGTCTCCATGGCCTCCTCCTCCTCTAACTCATCGGGATCAAAGGCAAAGCTAGGCATGTCCAGGCCACCTGGGGACGGCCGGAGCCGCGGCACGGCAGGGAGAGAAGAACAGCGATAATGGCGATGGGAAAAGGGGGGAAATGGAGATGGGGAGAGGCTGGGAAGGGCACGGGGGTGGAGGAGGAGAAGAAGAGGAGAGGGAGCCCGGGGGGATGGGGTCACCCTGCCTGCACCCGGGGGGAGGGGTCACCCATGGGAAGGACCCCCAGGCCGGAGCTGCCGAGGGGACCCGGGACACTCTTACCGCTGGCCGGGGGCGTGGGCCGGCGGGTCCCTGTCACGACATCGCCCAGGCTGGAGCTGGAGTTGTCACCCGATTTGCTGCGTGGGAGAAGCACAGAGAGAACGATGAGGGAGGGATGGGGAGGAGCGGGGGGGCGGGGGTCCGGGCAGAGCTGGGGAGGGGGATCAGGGTGAGCCCCACCTCGAGCTCAGGCGGTTCTGCCTCATCTTCTGCTCCTGCAGCAGCCGCATGTTCTCCAGCTTGACGGGGCTGGGGATGAAGCCGACCTCGCAGCCCTCCTTCACCAGCCGCCCGATCCACCAGTCGTTGTTGTACTTCTGCTCGGGGGAAAAACACCTTAAAACACCTTAAAACACCTTAAAACACCCCAAAAACCCAGCCCAGAGCTGCCCCCCAGCCCCCCCAGCCCGCTCCCACCTCCTTGATGTGCAGGAAGTCCTTGGGCTCGAAGCAGATGGCCATGCCCTGCACGGGCACGTCGTCGGTGGCCGAGGGGTTGTAGCCAACGTTGGTGCGCACGGCGAACGCCACCGGCTTCGTCTGCCAAAGGGAGAGGGGTGGGCAGCTCCCCCCGCCCCAAAACGGGGAGATCCCACCCCAAAACAGGGAGATTCCGCCCCCTGCCACCCCAAAACAGGGAGATTCCATCCTCTGCCACCCCAAAACAGGGAGATTCCACCCTCTGCCACCCCAAAACAGGGAGATTCCATCCTCTGCCACCCCAAAACAAGAAGATCCCACGCCCTCACCCTGCCCCAGCCAGGCAGGTGCCGGTGCCGGTGCCGGTGTCACCCCAAGCCCGGCCAGGAGCTAATGAGGGGCTCATTAGCTAATTACCCCCGCAGCGTGATGGACACTCAGCCAGGGTGAGAACCCAAGCTCCCAGCTCCTCCCAGTAAACCCCGCTGCCTTCCCAGTGCCACTCCCCGTGATCCCGGTGGCACCGGGACAATGGGGATGGGGAGCACAGGGGGTGCCTGTGCCGGGTCAGGGGGTGCCGGGAGGTGCCTGTGCCGGGTCAGGGGGTGCCGGGGGTGCTTTGGGGGCTCCATCCCGGCTGTCCCACCTTGGCTTTCTCCAGCTGAGCCATGGCCTGGCGCTCGGCCTCTTTGCGCAGCGCCTCCCGATCCTCCTCCAGCGACACATCCGAGTCCGAGGGGCGGCTGGTGTAGGACTCAGCCGAGCCCTGGGGCAGCGGGGAGGGGGCTCAGCCCACCCTGTGCCCACCCATCCCCTCCCCAATTCCAGCTCTGTGACCCCCCCACCCCAGCACTCTCTCACTGGGTGCCCATCCCCGTGGCCACTGGGAGCCACCCGGGGCTGGCCGCAGCCACCGCGCCGGGGTCACGGCAGGAGAGGGACACGGCAGCTGTTGTCACCGCTCCGGCCGGGAACGTGACACCGGCCCGGCTCCCGCTCCCATCCCGCTGCCCGGGGCCTCTCCGAGAGCCGGGAAGGCAACGGGGACCCCCCCGAGTGTCCCCCAGGCCACGGCAGAGCAGGGGGACAGGGCTGTCCCCAGCACGGGAGCGCAGGGCCATGGGGACAGGGAGATGTGGGGAGACTCGGGGTCACCCCGGGACAAGGCTGGGGTGGGATCGGGGACCCCCTGCTCACCCCCCAGCGACAGCGGGGACACCCAAGGGACGCCCCGGCCCGGTCGGGGTGGGTGACATGTGGGACATCCCCCCCCAGCCCCACCAGAGCCCCTGGGGGTGTGGGACCCCCACTCCTTATTTTCCCAACCCCGGGGATTTGGGGGTCACTCAGCCCCTTTGCACAGCCCCCCCACCCCCGCGGACCCCCTCCCCAAACCCACGGGGCACTGCCCCCCCTTCTGCCCCACGGACGGGATTTTGGGGGGGGGGGTCACCAGAGCCCGGGCACGACCCCCTCAACCAGAGAGCCGAGGGGACCCCGCGCTGGGGACAGGACGGGCAGGGGAGGGGATGGGGGGTCCTGGGGGCTCTGGGGTGGGGAGGGGTCGCTCACCGGGGCAGCGGGGTGGTCTTTGCCGGGGATCTCCATGGTGGCAGGGCCGGGGGCGAGCGGGGCGGGCGCAGGGCTGGGCACGGGGGGGGCTCAGGTTTCAGCCCCGGGTATATTTAGCCCAGTGCCGGGCAGGGGGTGGGGGGGGGGGGGGCCCTGCCAAGCCACAGGGTTTGGTGCCAGCTGGGGGATGCCAGGGCTGTGACCCTTCCCTGGCACCCCAAGAGGGGCAGGGCACCCATGGGAGGGGGCTGCAATTTTGGGGGAGGGGGGGTTGGGACCCTCCAGCACCCAGGGCAGAGCAGAGAGAGGAGGAGGGCACAGCCAGGCCTGGCTCGGTGTGACCCCACCTCAGTTCCCGGGGCTAAAAGGAGCGCTGGGACCCCCCAAAAAGTGCCGGGGCCCCCCCTCACCCCCTCACCTGGCGGACGAAGCTGTTGGAGGTGGTGTCGGAGGAGGTGCTGCCGTCCGAGCGCTTGAAGCGGCTCTTGCGCCTGCTGTACTTGCCCTGGGGACAGGGGAGGGGGCGACAGGGCAGCGCTGGAGCCCCAAAACTCCCCACAAAGCTCGGGGGGCAGCTCTGCACCCCCATCCCCCGCTGCCGGGGATGCTCCAACCCCCCCCACCCCCACCCTGCTCAGCCAAACCCCGCTCCCGAGGGGTGGGATAATGGGATGGGATAATGGGGTGGGATAATGGGATGGGATGGCATTGGGGCTGCCCCTCCCCGGGGGTCGCAGTATTGGGGGGCTGCGGCCCCAAACCCACGGGGAGGGACGCACTGGGGCTGAGCAGATTTAGGGGAGCAGCCCCCAAACTCCTGCTCCCCCCAGACGAGCCCAAAGAGCCCCCCCACACACACCTGTGGGGGGGTCCCCACGCCCCTCTCCACCACCCCAGTGCCCGAGACCCCCCCCCAGCGTGGGCACCCACCCCCACCCACCCACAGGACTCCGCTCCCTCCGACTGGGATGGGCTGCAGGAGGTGGGGGTGTCCCCGTGCCCCCCCTGTGGCAGCTCCCTCCCCTTGGGGGAGGTAAAAGGGGGGAAAGCGCTGGGGGAGAGCGGGGCTGTCACCTCCCCGGTGTCCCCGAGGGACAGCTGGGCCCAGCTGCCACCCAGCCCGGGGGTGGGGGGTCCCCACGCTGGGTATTTTTAGGTCCAGGACCCCCCCACAGGGCTGGGGCACAGCGACGAGACTCCCTCTGCCCCCAAACCCTGGGAACCCCCACCCCAAAAACTGTCCCCCCACCCTGGTTGGAGCACCCCAAGAGCACGGGGAAGGGGGGGGGTCTGTCCCCAGTGCCCCCCACCCCTCTGGGACCATGGGACCGTCCCTATCCCCCCAAACCAGAGGGGACAAACCGAGGGAAGTGTGGGGGGAGCACCCCAAGAGTTTTCCCAATTCCTCAAACTTTCCGGGTGGGCACAACACCCCCCCAAAAACCCACCTGCCCTCTTTGCTGGGCGAAGCCCAGGGGATCGGGAAGGTGAGGGGGCTGAATTTGGGGTCTCCCTGAGGCTTCTGGGGGAGGACACCCTTTCTTTTTGGGGTGCTGGGAGGGTGGGATCACCCCGATACCAGTGCGGGGATTTGGGGGGGGTGAGCCCCATCTATTGCACGGGGGGAATTCCATGGGGTGAACCCCCCGCCCCCGCCGTTCCCTCTGGGGGTGCGGGCGATGCCGCCCCCCCCTCCCTCCCCCCCCACCTCCCCGGCCAAATTTTGGACCCCCAAATCTGCGGGGGTGTCACCTGGAGCGCGGCGTTGTCCAAGACGTCCATCTGGATGTCCTGCGTGGAGCTGTAGGGGGTCCGGGCCATGCCGCCTTCCCGCACCATGGAAGCGCCGGGCTCGGCGGGATTTTGGGATGGATGGGTGGGTGGATGGGGGGGAACCACACAGAGGAAGATGATGACGATGACGATGAAGCTCAGGCCTGGCCCCCGCGGTGACGGAGCGGCAGGAGGAGGAGGAGGAGGAGGAGGAAGGAGGAGTGGGGATGGCGCAGGGGGGGCGAGGGATGGGCGGCCGCTCCCGCACCGCCTTCCCGGGGGGGATGGGGGATGCGGGAATGCGCCCCCCTTCCCTCCCCCCCCCCCGATCCCAGGTGCGGCACCCCCGCAGCGGCTCCTTCCCAAAAAACGGGGTGCTCAGGATCCCCCCCTCCCCAAATTGGGGGGGCCCCGCTGTTTGCCCGCTCAGCCTTTACACTCGCGGGACCCCAAAAAGAGCCGGGGGGAGGTCACGGGGACCCCAGGAAGGAGCAGCCCCCATCCCCAAATGGGATCTGCCAGTTTGGGAATCCAGCGCTCCCTTGCCCCAAAAATGCAGCTTTTCCCCCCAAAGCCTCCCCTGAGCCCCCCTGTGCCACAGGGAGGGACCCCCGCACCCCGCTGGCTTCTCCAGGCAGGACAGTGTCCCCTGTCCCCCATCCCAGACACTCTGGGGACAATCCTCCCTCTCCAGGGACCCCGGCATGGAGGAGCCGATGTCCCCTGTCCCCAGCTGAGTTCCCCCCCAGCGCTGTCACCCCGCGGGTGCCGCTCCCTCCGGCTGTTGGAAAATTAAAAATTCCTTTGCGCCCACCCCCCCCCCCCCCCACTCCAGAGGGGCTTTTCCTGCTCCCATCCCGGCTCCAGGGACAGCTGACAGAACATTTTCCACCCTCGGTCCCCATCCATCACCAGCTCCGCGACACTTCCATAGCGAGGGGACATTTGGAGGGACACCAGGGTCACCCCAGGGACCCCAGCCCGGAGCCCCCCGTGCCTGGAAAAGCTCCCCCCGACCCCAATCCTGCCCGTGCCCTGCTGCTCCTGAGTGGGGATGAAATCCTGGAGGGTCTCTGGGGATCCCAGGGGTGTTTTTGGGGGGCAGAGCAGAGTTGGGGGGGGCGGCCCCTTCCAGCCGGGATCCTGCCCGGGGGCGGAGGCGAGCGCACCATTGCCTGGCACTGCGTGGGAGAGCAGCACAATCGCGACATCTCCTCCTCGCTGCTGCAGCTCCCCGGGCTCCCCCTCTGCTCCCAGGACGAGCTCCATGAACATCCAGCCGTGGATATTCCCGGCAATCCAAAGGAATTGTCCAAATCTCCTCGGAACCCCCTCCCCACCACCACCAGGGCAGCAGCAGCATCCCTACCTGAAACTCCTCAAATTTGGGCTCAGGTGTGTTTCCTCCTCCTGGCATCCTTGTGAAGCACAAGGTGGCACTTCCAGAGGGGTTGGGGACACTCTGAGTGGCGGTGTCACCGGCATTGTCCCGTCCTTGTTCCGTCCCCAGGCGGAATCCCAGCAGGGCAATTCCCACCCCGAGCCCTCTCCCGCCTCGGGGAGCCGCCGGATCTGGCTGTTTGTTTAAGGAAAATGATGAGTCAGTTTTGAAACAGCAAGAGCCTGTGTTTATCCGTGTTTTTCTGGGAAAACGAACCAAAAATCTGTCGGCAGCAGCTCCTCAGCTCGAGCCATATGTCGGCTGTGCCACGGCCGCCAGATCCCCGGGGAATCGTCAGCATCCCCACTCCGGGGGCTCACCTGGTGGTTTTGGGGGATAACCAGGGCATTTCGGGGGGGTTTGCACTCTCCAGCCACTCCCAGGCTGTAGGAAGGAGGGAAAACAGCTGCGAAGCTGCGGATTTGGGGATTGTGGAACAGCGGGGAGGTTAAAACGCAGCGTTTTCACTGCGTGGGGTTGGTAAAAACGGGAATTCAGTCATGGAGATACCTCTGTGGTTTCAGGCCGGTCACAATTCCACACGTTACCATTCCCCAAGAATTCCCTGTTGCAGGAATCCTTCCACAATCTGTTCCCAGCCATTTCTGGGTCACTCCCGAGTGTTTTTGGGGCAGGAAACAAAACTGGTTGTGCTTCAGTTTTCCAGCTGCAAAATGGTGCCATGGATACAGCTGGACCTCGCTCGTGGAATATCAGGAAGGGGAAATGTTCTGTGACAACTCTCACCAGCCCTGTGAGAGGTTATTCCCAGGAAAACCTGAGTTCTCTTTTCCCAGCAGTGCCATAACCACTGGAAAAGAGGTGGGACTTGATCCTCAGCTGGAATCTGAGGGCCCAGCTCACGCTTTGGGGTGAATTCTTGGGAAAGAAGGGAAAACAGAGATCCCGTTCCCTACTAGGAAAAACAAAATGGTGTTAAACTTGTCCTGAGGAGCATCTTCCCAGGCAGGGTGGGAGGGACAGACCGTGCAGGTGTCTGCAGGTACAAGGAGGGCCAGTATGGGACGGGCAGGGGCCAGGACAGGCCCAGGCTGCTCCCAAAGCAGGGCCAGACGTCCCAGCACAGGCCAGGATGATCCCAAAGCATTTTCAGGCATCCCAGTATAGACCAGTCTAGGCACAGCACAGGGCCAGTCCTCCCAGTATGGGCCAGACTGGTCCAGTTCTCTCAGGAAGGGCTGGGACGAGCCCTGAATCCTCTGCCCTGCGTTTCCCACGCCGCCAGTGGAGCGGGGACATCCCCCAATCCCATCCCAATTCCATCCTAATCCATCCCAGTCCCTCCCAGTGCTCCCAGTCCATCCCAGCCCCCCCCACACTCTCTCCACGTGCCTCCCACGTTCCCCACCGCGCATGCGCAGCCCCCGCCCAGCCCTCCCCGCTACGCACGCGCGGGCTGTACCATTTCTCTACAGCGGAGGGGGGAGCCTGGAAGGACCCACGTCTGTCCCACACATCCCGCGTGGGTCTCGGCGCCACGTGAGGCCTTTAGATGATTGACCACGCTTGATTTCATCGCGGTTATTCCTTTACCGCGTTTCGGGCGGCGGAGATGGGCCCGGGGGGGCCGTGTGGGGTGGTACGGGCAGCACGCAGGGGGCGGGGTCAGCGCCGCCTTTGCGTCTCTCAGGCCCCGGCGCCGCCGCCATGAGGTGGGAGCGGGGCCGCGCCCGCTGTTCTGGGGGATAACGGGGATCGGGAGGCACCGGGGCGCACGGAAGGGGAGCTGAGGAGTGTCCTCAGAACCGGGGTAGTGCCCGGGCAGTTCCGCATGGCGGCCCCGGGCGCTGTGAGGCCACCACGGCCTCCTCAGGCCTCGCGGGAAAATGGCGGAGGGACGGGATGGCCGCGCTGAGGGGCCGGGGGGGCGTGAGTGGCGTCTGGGAGCGCTGAGCGGGGTGGGCTCGCTGGTCCCGGGCACTGCGGTCCTCGGATGCGCCCCTTGGAGCAGCGCGGAGTGTTTGGGCAACTGGGGCCGGGAACCTGAGGGGGTGAGGAGATGTCTGAGGGGCGGGAGGGAAAGAGGCCCTGAGGGGGGTGAGGGTCCATGAGGGGGGATGCAGGTCCTGAGCCGGGTGATGGGGTGCCCTAAGGGTGGTGATGGGGTGCCCTGAGGGGCGGGTGAGGGTCCCTAAGGGCAGTGCAGGGTCCCTCAGGGGGGTGAAGGTCCCTACAGGGGAGTGTAGCGTCCCCTGAGGAGGATGACACAGTGCCATGAGGGGGCTGTAGGGTCCCCGCGGTGGGTGCAGACCCCCCTGACCCGTGCCCATCCCTGTCGCAGTATGCTCCGGCTCCAGAAGAGGCTGGCCTCCAGCGTGCTGCGCTGCGGGAAGAAGAAGGTGTGGCTGGATCCCAATGAGACCAACGAGATCGCCAACGCCAACTCCCGTACGTGAGGGGCTCTGGGAAAGGGGTCCAGCAGGAGCGTGGGAGGAGAAGTTTTGGGAAGCACAAAACAGTGAAGATGGTTTAGGTTGATAAAATCGTTGAGTTTGGGAAAGAGCTCCCAAAACCGTTTGGTTCAACCGTTGGTAAAATTCAGCCCCTCTTTGCGGTTTAAAGTGGGGTTTTCAGGATTTACACTGATGAGGTGCCTGGTGGTGCTCTCTGAGGTTATCAGTGAGGGAATCGGGATCGTTGGAAATTCCATAGGGAAAACAGGGCTCTGAGGAGGGGGCTGCCTTCTCTCAGCCCTGCATCCTCTCCATCCCCCCGGAGCCGGGTCAGTGCTGGCCTGGCAGCCTCACAGGAGGTTCTGGACGCTTTTGCAGGGCAGCAGATCCGGAAGCTGATCAAGGATGGGCTGATCATCCGCAAGCCCGTGACCGTGCACTCGCGGGCTCGCTGCAGGAAGAACACGCTGGCCCGGAGGAAGGGCCGGCACATGGGCATCGGTGAGTGCTGCATCCCTGGAATGGGGCACATCCCATCCCCCACAGCCCCCGGGGAACCTCCCCTGAGTGTGGGACAGCGACAGCAAAACCCTGGGTTGTGTCAGTGAACGGCAGAACCCCTGCGTTGTGTCCGTGGTTGTTTCCTTGAGCTGAACAGGAGGGAGAAAGGCTTTGGGATGAGTGTGGGGTTGGGCTGGCAGGAATTTGGGCTCGTTCTCACCTGTTTCCCCCATCCAGGTAAGAGGAAGGGCACGGCCAACGCCCGCATGCCCGAGAAGGTGACCTGGATGCGGCGGATGCGGATCCTGCGGCGGCTGCTGCGGCGCTACCGCGAGTCCAAGAAGATCGACCGCCACATGTGAGTCCTGTCCTGCACCCGGAGCCCGGAGTTCGGCCCTGCCTGGGCAATCCCGGCCATTCCCGGCCCTGCCTGGGCAATCCCGGCCATTCCCGGCCCTGCCTGGGCAATCCCGGCCATTCCCGGCCCTGCCTGGGCGATCCCGGCCATTCCCGGCCCTGCCTGGGC